TGCATGAATGGTTCTTGATTCTTAAGGCGGGCAGAACAAGCCACAGCTCAAAGGCGAAGGCAGAAACAACACTTAGTGGCCCCTGTAACAACAAAGCAGCAGAAAATGCTTTTTCACTGAAGTTCACTTAAACTCTCAATGGATTGTGGTCCACTGCTGAAGAAAGAAACAGAGAGCTGTGTGGCTACAACCTTCTAAGGCGTGAAAGAAAAGCCTTTAATAATCTTGGTAGTATTGCTAGGGGACAAAACAAGAAGATAAAAACATGAATCTCAGAATAAGAAAAAGTATAACGATATGTTTTCTCTATAAGGGAGTGTCTGTTTATGTGTAGGAGTACTGAGGTTCTCTGCCTTGTGGTTAACATACACTTTTTTTTTTTTTTTTAAATGATCTTGTAACGCTTTTGAATTTTATGCCTAATAAAAATCGGTCACAGGGCCATTAAGGACGGCACAGACAATCTGTGAACAACCCGTCCACACCTACATGTGAGCTTGGCCTGAACAGCACATTTAAAGCCTTTTTCTCCTTCCATGAAATAGTCATGAAACACCTAGTGGTGTGTGACTTTCCAATTATATGGTAAGATTAACAGCATTAAAAAATAAATGACATTTCACAATCTTTCAATGACTTTATCCCCGCTGATGTCACATCGGGCACACAGGCTCTTGGATAATGTTAACCAACAGCCATCAGTGATCATTTTTGCAACCCACATTCAGGTCGCACTCCATTATGGTTTGTAACACTCTTTTTATGGTCCAATTAATTCCTGACAGATTAAAATCAAGACCTACAATTTGTCTTGAAGGCAAATTGTTTACAAATAACAATTCATTTTGACTTTAATGTTTTTGGGAAATAAATCATTTAAATTGTTTGTAAAACCATGATGAGCATTTAGTCCAGTATAGGAAAGCAGCATATTTTGTTTTCCAGATGAATCATCACACTAAAGATGATATACCACCTATTCCAAGGTTTCTCAAGTCTAGCACTCAAGGTCCATCTTCCTGCAGAGTTTATGCTGCGATCCATTTACCTCGGATGTCGAAGCTGGGAATGATGTCACACCCGAGTTGACAACGTTCCAGTACACAAGTCGGAAAACCAAGATGGACGTGTTCACCGATAGCAATACCAGTCGATAAAAACGCAGTATTTATAGCACCTAGCACCAACATATCATGTCCACAGATAGAGGTTTGACAGTACTGTTTGCACCACTTAGTGACACAGACGACAGACGAACAGAAATGCAATATATTACTACTGTTTCACTTCTGTTGATGCTCTGAGAAGCCATACTGGACTCTAAAGTCAGGGTTGTTGTGGTTCCTCGGAGTCTGAGTCTGAATTCCAACTTGAGGGGGCATTTCAGTTAAAAGTTCCAACTGGGAACTTGGAATTTCCGACTTCCAAATAGGCTTGCCGCGATAGACGGTGCTGACAGTGATACCGGTGTTAAGCCGCAACACCGGTTACGTCACTTGCCCACCACGGCACTGACCACCACCGTCGTTTTGATTTTTTATAGTAATAAAAATCATTTAGTTCAGTAAAAGAACAGACACTAAAAATTAAAAACTGAACGCGACTGCTCGATGCAGCGTGCCGAACGACAGTCGCATCACAGATCAAATTTCATTTATCCAGTGAGAGTGAGTCGAGCTGACTGACAAGAAGAGTGGGGTGAGACAGACAAGACGATGGCGGATGATTTAGTTTCGAAACGAAATGCAAAAGCGCCTGTTTGGCAGTATTTTGTATTTTGAAAAGCCTGTTGACTTTTGCCGTTTATCTAAGGTGATTTTGGAAGTTTTTTTAAACATTCGTTTCTTATTTAATTGGTTCCACAGTGTTTGCTGATTTTTACTTTATTTAAACTTTGTGTCATTTATTTATTTTATTTGACATCAAGGTGTAGGCCTATGCCGTGCCTCCAAGCTTTCTTATTCGTTTTGCTAATACACTTTCTAAGTTTATAATTTATTTGGTTATATATTATACATGTTTACTTATTTCCAGTTTTGTATAGGCTACCTATTTAAACTTTATGCAAGTTATTTGTTATTTTATATTAGGCATAGCCTGCCCTATAGCATGGTGTATTTTTATTCGGTTTGTTAATAAAAGTTCTATGTCTTATATATAGGCTAAAGTGAGTTTTACATTGTATTTTGTTGTTGCATTCAAGCAATTGAAGCCAAATTGCCGCTAATTCGAAAGTGAAAGTAAAACGCGCACGGTGCTTTTAAGCTATTTAAAAGTGAAGGAAAGCGAGGAAAAGAGGGAAAATTCAAACGAACAATTGCTTTACGCCGAATTGCCGCTATTTGAAAGTGAAAGTAAAACGCGCACGGTGCTTTTAAGCTATTTAAAAGTGAAGGAAAGCGAGGAAAAGAGGGAAAATTCAAACGAACAATTGCTTTACGCCGAATTGCCGCTATTTGAAAGTGAAAGTAAAACGCGCACGGTGCTTTTAAGCTATTTAAAAGTGAAGGAAAGCGAGGAAAAGAGGGAAAATTCAAACGAACAATTGCTTTACGCCGAATTGCCGCTATTTGAAAGTGAAAGTAAAATGCGCACGGCGCTTTAGCAAGCTATTTAAAAGCGAGGAAAAGAGGAAACGCCCCTGCCCCTGCCCCCATGGTGATACCGGTATTATCGGTGTTGTCACACGTCGATTAACCGGTGGGAAAATTTCCTCACCGTCACAACCCTACTTTCAAATACAAATGGAATGCACCATCAGCCCCAACCTTGATCAAATTCAACTGCCAGAAACTTTTAGATTTTAGACTTTGATTAGCTTATTTCTGGTGTTTTTAGTCACCAACTCTGCAGAAAAGTGGACCTCGAAGGCCAGGGTTGAGAACTCCTGACCTATAAACACAAACATAAAAACACATGGTTTTGTTGAGGAGATGAAGCCATCTATGAGCTCTCACCTGTGACGATGCTCATCGTGAGCTCCCATGCCATGTATGACCTGTCTGCTGCTGTGCCTGGCCTCCTTCTCCGACTCGATGTGTGGTATCAACACGTCCTCCAAACCAAAGTCAAAGCGCTTGTGTTTGGAATTGTCCGGGAGGAAGAAAAATGCTCCGAAACACAAGGTGATGAAGGCACTGAGGATGAGGAGGAGGATGAACTTCTCTGAAAGCCGCAAGGTGGCTCTGTGATGGGGGAATGAGGAGGCACCTGGCGAGAGGGTAGGTATCCTACGTCCCGATAGTGGCAATAGAGCTGGCGTGGTCATATTTTGACGATGAACTGGAATATGGTGGGATAAGTGTCAAGGTTGTTTGTGTGTAAGCCACACTATTATCTCATTGCGTTAATGGGAGCTTTACTGCCGAACGTCTGCTTATCTCTTAGAAATGGAGTTGTCCTGTAGATCACAACTGATTACACTTGCTCTGAAAACAAAGACAGACATTTTCAGATACTGACTATCATGAGGCATTCAACAGAAGCTTGCCATTAAAAATAAACTTCAGTTTCCATGGCAATTTATGTTAAGCAGCAGAAAGGACATAAGTGTAAATTTTACTATACAACAGATAGCTCCAGCCCTCTAACATGATTCTCTGGGTCTTGTAATCATTTTAGTAGTTATTAGAAGTAAATTGGTTTAATATTTCTGTAATATAATATATGCTTTTCAAGTGGTGTTGGAAATAACATAATTACGAGTTCCACGCAACAAGTATAGATGATAAACGAGTTGCCAAGTTGAGAGACGTTGGAAGGGGCATGTTGATTTGAAACATGCTGGAAGCACAAATATATATAGTCAGTATCCATGCGTCAAGCACTCAACTTTCACGGTTTGCTTAACATTCAGTTGTGATACCATGCATAAATAAGTGAAAGATGAAGCTATGCATCATAAAGCGTAGTTATTTGGCTGTTTTATTTCCATCTTAAATGTGTGGCATGTTACAAAAACCAAAGCCAGATTTGGAGGTTCCCACGTGCACTTGAAGGCAGCAATTGATACCGCAAAAATAGTAAGAGTGCTATGCAACTACTAGTATACTATTTTGACATCACCTTGCTCTGAATGGTGTTTCTCGCACTAGCAAGTCAAAAATAGAAAACGTAGAGCTGGAGTCCAGCGATTACAGTAGCTGAGTCTAAAATTGCATACTGTCTAGTAAGTGCTACAGTTGGTTTGAACGAAGGTTACTTCGCGAAAGAATGTTTTATATAGTAAGAATATGGGTAGTATAAATGAAATTCAGACACACCTCTAGCTTGTGCATGTAGTCCTCTAGTGCACTCTAGCTTGTGTGATTGATTGTAGGAATTGAATGAGGAATCTTAGCTTTTTTCGTAGTACTACACCACCCATAAATAAATACATGGACTTCTGGTTTAGCCTTACAAATGGTAAACATTTAAGAGAGAGTATTTATAGTGAGGACGTTCAAACATACATTATGGCCCAAAACTTTTTAAATCTTGTTTATTTTAACGTCTTGTTTGGACTATCATGCTTTGGTTAAACACAGGTAGATTAGAGTCAAATAAAATGCCATTATATCAAAGCATGTGAATTTACATGCACCAAAAACATACATTTCGTCAGAGACACTTTTAGCGGTGAGCATGACAATGTGACACCTGTACAAGGGTTTGCTCTTGATTATAGTGCCTCATCAAGCGTTGTTCATGCTCAAAACGCCGTTCGTATCTTTAACATTACGCAGTATTTTTATATATTGATGAAACAAATGTGTGCACATACCGTGAGGGTCTTTTTATCATTCCGATCCATGATCCTCGCTTGGATTCGAACGCTTCTCTGTGTCAAGGCGGGTTGGGTCGAGTCGAGTCGTTATCTTCACGATAAACGGTGAGTCCACCCTCACCGCCTAAGTAAACATAAAGAAAACTGGACAAGCGGATAGTAAACACAATGATACAGCACTAGGTGCTTTCGTTATCCTTGTTAACGATAGAATTCGCGTCACATTCCACGGTAAATACCGCGAAGTGCGCACGGTGTTTCAGCCCAGGCCTGATCCGCTTGATGCCGTGGCAGCGTCTCTGAACCGGAGAGCGATATCGAGAACCAATACAATAATGAAAGTAAACAAGGGTGTATCGCAGCTGCTGGCTGATCCTCTCTGTCCTATTTTAATGAAAAATCACGCCGGACTGCGCTGGACGAGTGCTGCGCCGTTTTCCCTCAGTAAAGGCATTCAGCTGGCAGCCGTGTAGCGGACCGATCCCGTCCTGCCGCTGCTGCATCACCTTGTCGGTGCCTCGGGATCAATCGGCGCCATAGACCATAAATCCACAATTAATGCCTGAAAGCTGCCAAGTTCACGTTCATGTCTGTGCTTCTATACACTGAGGCATTTGCGATTACCCCCACCGCCTCCCTAACGTCTTGGTTCCTCCTTTATTTCTGTAGCCGTGTGCGCCGCCAGTCTCCAATATCCAGGATGTTGTTACTGCAACAGCTACTCCTCCTCTCAGTCCTCCAACATCCAGTCAGCTGCCGTTTGGTAAAGCCAGGGAGCGTCGCTCAAGTACGAGTCTCGATAGGCAACGCAAAATTAATGGCGGTCAATTATGGACAGTAGAGACAAAAAAAACATTTATAGTAGTTCCTAATATGGACTTGTCGCATCTTTTCCAACTTTTTGTCTTCTTTATCGTTGTTTTTCTGCGTTTCTGTATCTTTGTATTTTCTCAATTTTTGTGCTCAATTTGACGTTTTAAAACATTTACATAGGCATTAGCTTAGTTGTTGTTTAGATATCTGAACTGTTAATATAGTGAACTTGCCATTAGAAAATTCCCATTACTTGAAATGAAACGAACATTAAATGAGATCAAATAAAAATGTTTAAGTTGATGTATTAAAATAACTAAAACTAAATAAACTAAAACGTTATAAAAACTATATAGACTTTTTAAAAAACTGATAAAATATGACAAAACATAGCACAAATAAAATAAATTACAATACATAAAATTACTAAAACGTTAATTAAAATGAAAACAGAAGATTAAAAAAATCAAATTGAATTTAAAATAAAAACTATAGGGTGAATTCAGGTAAAGTGGGCCATTTAAGTTTGATTGTACTGTGCTCAATCGGTTTGCACTTTCAGAGCATAACAATGGTTCTTAATTAAAGGGACACTATTTCTCTAAATGATAAAATAGTTTTGGTTGATGCAATATGACACTGGTGGGTGTGGCCACACCTCAAAGGAGGACTATGTCATTTCTAAATTATAAGGTTGCTCACATAATGGAAACAAATATTATTGGGACAGGTCCTGCTGTTTTTGTTTCCACAGTTAACGGAATAAAATTCAAAGAACAAAATGTTTAAAAATGTGTTAGTTTTCTTGTAAGGTGTTTAAATATTGCTGACCCACTTTGGCTGAATGTGTTAGATAAAGTGGGCCGGTAAGATTCAGGTAAAGTGGGCTGATCTTTAACCTTCTGTAATTATACTGAAATTTACTAAATAAATTGACATTCACTGATTATTTTATATTTGACATGTATAATTTACTTTTTTAGAAAACAGAAATTAGTCTGCAGTCAGAAAATTAAAGTCAGAGATGGAAGAAAGGAAAGAGAGAATAGAAAGGAAGTCAAGGCATGAAGTTCAATCTGTGGAGTGAAGAAAGGATGAGAGGAGCAAAATGTAGATGCAGAATATAAAGCTTTAAAATATGGACACATTTAAAAAGTTAATTCAAAGGACTTTATAGAACAGACAGAACAATATTTTTACATATGGTTACCATTTTAAATGTTCCTCTTATTACTTTTTTAGACTATTTGTTGTCGCTTGTGTTATGGTCACATTTTTTACATATTGTAGAGTTCATTTGATCAATATTCCGATTTCTGAATATTCTGATATTCAGATTTAATCAAATTTAATGTCAACACAACATGTTCTTTCAGTTGTTTGGAATTTCACAAATGAATTCAGATGAGGATTTACACATGATTTATTTTACTCATAACCTGTGGGTTATGAGTAAAAAGAGACCCCCCCACATGATTGTAAAGCGCTTTGGGTGTACAACAATACACAGTAAAGCGCTATATAAATGCATCATTCATTCATTCATTCGTTATATATTTTTGGATTTGTTAAATATGTTGTTAAATATGTTTTGTCTGATAATATGTGTTAATAAATGATTTGTTTTTAATTAAGATGCAGAATCATTTTTGATAAATAAGGGATGGCTCACTTTTTTGTCTAGAGTACATGACCTCAAAATGTTTATTGGTATATATCTTGCAAATAACACTTTATATAGACTGTATTCAAATTGAAATATTATAGCTGGACCTTAACAAAAGTAAAAAACAAAGAAAAGAAAAGAAAAGAAAAGAAAAGAAAAGAAAAACAAAGAAAAGAAAAACATCTAGGTATCTAAATTATACTTTTTACAAAAAGTGGCCCCCTTTTTTTCCCTGAATTCACCCAGTAGTATATCAATGATACCAAAATAACACTGGTTCACAGTAACATAGTTTTTGCAAAGCTAGTTTAAACTAATAAAGCAATAGTCTAAAACTTACATTAAATAGTATAATAACATCTGAGCCTTATAAAGCCAATACAATTAGTTATAAGGCAGAACATTTCAAATGTTTTCCTTTGACGTAAGTGAAACAATTAAGCAGCACACACAATCAAAAGTGCTGTTGTTCTGAAAATATTCAGAACAACAGCACAAATGTATCTAATTGTTTTTATACAATGGTTCATTAAACAATAGGCTAACATTACTTACCTGTTGGACAAAATAACGCCAGCCACTTTCCAATGAAAATAGCTGTAAACCAAGCCAAAACAGAACCAACTGTCGTGCGTTCCCGAGAATGAATCCTTGAGTAAATGAATCAATTAATCATTCATAAACACAGTCACTTGTCGCCATCTACTGGTGTAATGATGTAACCTAAAGAAATAGTTACTGAAAACACACAGTCAAAGGCTGCATCCGAAATCGCCCACTGTAAGCTGGATCACTATGTGTAATGTCATGTAGCAAGTTGCTAAGCTTACTGATAAAATCAAAAAGAGCAGCGGTGAAAACACGTTTCTGTGCGTGTTTTTTTTTTCCCGTGAGTCAGTAGGCAGAGAGAGCGGGAGAAATAGAGTAGGCTTATATAGGTTTACTATATTTATTTGTCTATTCTGTGTCTTTTTGGGGTTTGGTTGCTGTTGTAAGCTGTAAGGACCTTTGAAGTAACTGAAATCATTTGGCGAAGTGATATGGGTATGTAATGCGGTCAAGATCTGCCTGGAACTATTTTAGCCGTGCGTTTCCCTGAAAATAATTTAACACCAATCTGCGTAAAAAACAAAGAAAAGAAAAGAAAAGAAAAGAAAAGAAAAGAAAAACATCTAGGTATCTAAATTATACTTTTTACAAAAAGTGGCCCCCTTTTTTTCCCTGAATTCACCCAGTAGTATATCAATGATACCAAAATAACACTGGTTCACAGTAACATAGTTTTTGCAAAGAAAAATGCAAAGAAAAAATGTGAAAGGTCAAGATGATTAGTTGCAACCATAATTTTAATTGTTTAAATAATGTTAAATAAAATAATAATAATAAGGTTTCATCTTCTGGTTTATTTAGGTATAATGACTGGCTGGTTGTACATATTACTAAATGTCAAAATGATCAAGTTGTTTTACAACATTCATTAATGAGGCATTTTTAATTGCAATTTTAGAAGTGGTTTGCATATACTGTAACTGAATGTGTTCAATTTAAAGCAATCTTAAGGATGATTTACATATAATCAAATATATATATATATATATATATATGTTAAACCTAAGATGAAACAATGTAGGGATGATTTGCATTTAATCAAATATACATTAAACTTTAGAGGATGCTGTCTTGGGGTTGAATATAAAATAGTTTGCACCCTCATATATCATGGATCCATCAATGGACATTTTCAAATTCTGCTGAGCAGCCAAAAAAAATGAGGCCATTTAGATCTTTCTGTGACTTAGTCCTTGAGCTGCCATAAGTGTAGTTGTTTTCTCTTGATTTAATGATGATTTACCAGAATAACCTACAGCGAGTCTCAGTGCTGTTGAAGGTTGTGGAAAAGAAATCATGTATGTGTGAGTCATAGTCAAGAAAGCAGTGGCCAAGGGAGTGGATCTGCTGTCAGTCAGTTTAAGAGACACACATTTGACACCCTAACAAAAGTCACTGTCAGAAAGAAGGAGTTTTGCTTTGCTGAGTTTCTCAGTTTTCTGTGAGAATATGACACGGATCACTGGCCAAAAGAAGAATCACCTTAAACCTCAGACCATATACAACAAAACAGACTGGAGTAAGAGAAAATAATTCACCACAAACCTCTGTGAAGGTAAAACGAGGACGAAGATACAGGAAAAAGGAAAGGGAACGGGTGATTGAAGGGTTTATCTGTTACTTTAAGAGCAGTAGAGGTGAGACCATCCTCCAGTGGGCCTGTATAATGAGTCAGGATGTGCTTTGAGACTTTAAACGGAGGAATGGTGAACGATGACAGTTTAAACTCAGCAAGCAAATGAATGGGATACAGCTTCAACCTTGAGAAGTCCAGGCAAGGGCGAGTTGATTTGCTTTGCAGGACGAAAGCGTTTGTCAATTGCATATTCTTTCACATACAGGAAATAACATACAGGTGGAGGAGCCAAGATAA